CCAACTTTTCTCACTAGTTTGTCCAGTCTCTTTGCATGCCTTTTCTGATCCTTCCTCTCCAAACGGCATAGAACAGCACACTTGTCACCACAGGCTGACAGAACAGCACCTGCAGGAGTTTACTAGAGATGTCAAGTGATCTTAGTTTCCTTAACAAAAAGAGGTGATTTTTCCCCTTTTGTATAGTTTGTCTGTATCCAGGGACCAGTCTAGTTTGTTGTCTAGATATAAACCTAAATATTTATATTTTGTTACCATCTCTATGCCCACCCTAAAAACCTTGACAGCAGGAGGCCTGAATCTTCAGAAATCTACTATCATGTCCTTCGTGTTAGAGACTTTAGATATAAGGTTGTTTTTGTGACTTCAGTTGCTGAAAGTTTTTGAAAGCTTCCCAGTCCATTCCTGATACACACCACAATGGAAGTGTCATCCAAGTATTTCTGAATGGGGTAGGTCTCAAATTTGTATTTGAAGTCTGCTGTATATTTACAATGTGAAATCTAATGGAGCCAGGACAGTCCCTTGTGGAGTCCCTGTTTGTGAGATGATCTGTGGTGATTCAAGACCAAAGTCTAAAAGAAAAGAAAATTCATAGAATTCAGCACTAACTTTTCAAAACCTTTCGATGTACTAGGACAAGTGGACACAAATAATGCCACCAAATTGCTTTCTACAGCATAAGATGGAGTTAAACGTACCTAACTGTTATAAATCAAACAAACAAAAAACACAAGTTAATAGATGGACATGTGGTCAGCAGTTTGGTTCAGGGGTCTTATCACAGTAAGACAACTCTGGGTTTAAGTTGGCTGAGACTGTTCTGTGTGAAATTTTCATATTCTCCTTGTGCTAGCATACAGTGACCTGCATATACTCTGGCTTGTTTTCACAGCTCAATAATCTGCATCTTGGGTTGATTTGTTGATTCTTAGCATGTATGGCACTCATAGGGTGGTACACACCTGAGTGCCACGATAAGGCTCTGTGTAAATAAAGTGGTGCATAAATATGCGTGAATGTTTGCTTGTAACGTGGCTTGGAGTAGTTAGAACTAGAAAACTCCTATGTAATTGACAGTCCATTCCATTCCAGTTGGACCCAAGTCAAATATTCTTAAACAGAATACTATCAGGTATGTACACTTTTTACATATGTGAATGGAGATATCCCTAAAAGTGAAATTTGCATTCCTTTCTTTTTTAGATGTGGCCAACTGGTTCCCAAAAAACACAGATGCCTCTTATAACCTGTGAGTATGCATACTGCTCCCTGTTCTGTGTCCTTGCTGTTAAGCATAACATTGTTCTGTTTTCCATAAATGGAGTTCCTCTTCAGCATAGCAACTGTCAGATTTGGACTCAGTCTTTACAACTTAAAAATAGCAGCTATCGTTTATGAATAGAGGGAAGTTTTCCAGTCCATTATTTTTTGTTTCATTCTCAGGTCCAGAGAGGAATATGGGTGACACAGACGTACAGCGTAAACTTTTTAGATGAAGAAAGAACAGTTTTAGATTTACAACGTATTGCAAAGTTACTTCACAAAAGTGTGAAAAGTCACCCTCATATTTAATTTAAAAAAGCAACAAACATTTAAAAAAACAACAAGCCAATTCTCTGGGTTAGTAGACTAAAAGTAATATATAGAGTCCTGTGGTGCTTTGATGCTTTTTATTTTATATAATGAGATTGTTATTTTCAGAGGTTATTTTCATGTCATCCACATCACTGATCCTTGGACAGTCACTGCACATGACCTAATAAATAACCTAGTTCTATCAAGGCTAATAACCGCCAAGGCTCTGAAAAAATGTCTCTCTCCCAACTGGATAAAATATTTTATTGACCCAGAAGGAAAAGGATGTAACTTGTGACTTGTGGTCTAAAATCACTCAAGGTGATTTTTAAGACTAGGAAAGTGCTATATAAATGCAAATGCGTTATGTTTTGAACAGGATATGTTTGAAAGCAGTCCATTGGACTAGAGTTGATACACTTGACAACAAGCTCCAAACTGTGCAGCATACTGCCTTAGCCTGAGGAATGTGTCTAACTGCACTGGTTTCCACACTTTCTGTTAAAGGTGTGTTACGGTCCGGGCCATAATTCGGATCCCGGTGGCTGTCTTTTTTTGTTCTGTGTTTAAAAGTCTACAGGTCATTCCAGAGCTGACGGCTGCTGATTGGCTTCCTGATCAAGTGGCTGTTTTGAAAAACCCTCTCCAGCAGTTGTCTCGGGACAGCAACTGACAGCAGCAGCAGATCCGTCCTTGGCCTCCAAACTCTGTGACTTTTGTGCACATGTTTTGCTAAGGACTGTTGAGCTTTGTAAATAGATTACTTTTCATGTGTAAATGGGTGCGGAAGCAGATGGGGTGAACTGCCTTACTATTGTCTGTAATGTTTTCTCCTTACTTATTCAGTTAGGAGTAGCGCTTGACTTTTGTTTGGTTTTTGTTTCACCTAGGGTTTAGATAGCACCTCCATTTCTGAATAAGCTTGTTTTGTTTGTTCTCCCTAGAGTTAAGCTTCAGTTTAGACAAAATAAACCACCTTTAACTTGTAAATCGGCTTCTGTGTATGGTTTTGGGAACCAGGGCGGTGTCACTTTGCTTTTAACCCTTATGTTGCGTTCCGGTACCCCTACACCGGGACATAACAGGCGTTAAATATATTAAACAAAAAGTGACAGTATTCTACAGTAATAACAGACACTGATGTTATTAGAATATCATGTGTATGTGTGTGAGAAATACAAAGATACAGTAATTGTACTGCTGTGGGTCATTGTAAAGAAGCAATTGGAAGGAACAAGCTCCTAAATCCCTCCCTGACACACTGGTTGCCACAGCCTGTCGCTGAAGAAGTTGCTCAGTGCTGTCAAAAAGACCTGCATGGGGTGGAAGGTGTTCTCTAACAGGGATGACAGCTTGGCCACCATGGTTGACACCAAGCTTTTTCTATTTTTTGGAGCTGTAATAGAAAGTGCCACCAACATATGTTTTTATTTTTATATTGGATTTTGCATTTGCTACTGAAATGGTTTTTGCTACCAAAACTTCTGTTGACCAGTGTTGTTAAGATAGCATTTTAAGAGTATACAACAAAGAGAAAAGAAAAGAAAATGCAGTAATGGAGTCATGGCTCGTTCCTGTAAATATTGACACTGGCTTGGTACCCATCAATGACATCTTCTGTTTAGGTAGCCATGTAGGGAGGTAAGACACCATAAGCAAACCAGACAGAAAAAGAGATGGCACAAGAGGACTATGAAAACACACTTTCCTTTTGTAGAACTTGGTTTGATGTGGTTTGTTAATGTGTTTTTTTTTGTTGTTTTATATTATATATATATATATATATATATAAATAAATAAAAAAATACTGACCGGTCTCTAGGCCTGTGTGACTGAGGTCTAGGAGCCAAGTTAAATTGCATTTTGTGCTGCTCTTCCACAGACATCTCCTATTGCACTTTTGCACCTCTAATGTACAGCAGACTAAGTAGAAGGGAGAGCAATAAATGAGTCATTTATCCATAATAAGAAAAAAAGATCATTAACTGTGCTGTGAGAATGCCTGATTTACAGTTTAGTTATGTAGAATCAGAAAAGTGCAACAAAAAATCCAAAATAAGCTACAAATTATAATTTGTATATGTAGAATTAGAGCTGAAGTGCTTAGCGAATTAAAACACTGATTCTGTATTAATTCTTGTCTAATCATTTAATTACGTGAAATTCAAAGGGACTATTTTCTTGCAGTCAGTGGTGTAACTCTGAATACTTTAAGTAATTTCTAAATATACTTGCATATTTTTGTTAATGATTTAATTGTAGAAGTTATTTTTACTGTAATATTTTAGTGCTTTTTTACACTTCTTCCTGCCTACAGTAACTATTATTGTACTTAACCATTTTAGTTGTCTATTAAAATTGTTTTATTGAAAGAGATACTTGTGATGCTCTACCATCTCAGCATAGAAAAATTGAATATTTTCCCCTTAGCTGTGATGCCCATGAGTCTTCCACCTGTGTGAAGCAAGATTATTTCTTGTGACGTTCACACTCTTTAGTCCAGCTAAAAACAGAAATCTGCTTGATTGTTGATCAGGTGGTTTCCTGAAACCAGATCCTCATTCTTGAACACATGTTGTGTTAAATTTGGAATGTCACGTCACTGAAAAGATGATAGCTTCTCCACCCTACTGGAAAATACAGTTGGTATACTTATAGCCAGTCACACGTATGGATCAATTCTGTCAATAATGAGGAAGAAAGAGGGGATGCAAAATCAAAAGACGAACACAAAAAGCAGCTTTATATGTAAGCTGTGATTCTCTCTGTGGGATTATATCATTATATCTGGTATTAAATCACTGTATTCTTGGCAACCTATTGCCTGTTCAACCATCCTTGGGGTGACAGTGAATTCATAAGGGAATCATAATGTATAGAAGTATGATTCCATCAAACTTATTTACACAGATAATGAAAAATTCCATAGATTATGCCCACTTTGCTACTATGTTTGAAGGTTCTCCATGCATGATCCCTGTTCTGTAAATACTTATATCCTAAAATCATTGGCAGTTTCATTATACTTCAATTCCACAGCCTGCTGCTACGTCTAAACTACAGATTATATGACCAGTGAATTATATTCGAATGAAGCTTAACTGTTTAAGATGGGAAGAATGTGGATTCTAAGTTACACATATTTACACCAGTGAGTCATACTTGTATGTCCATCCATTAATGAATAATAAGTAAAGTTCTGGTTTTCTGTTCTGAAATGTAGCTCTTAAACAGCACGAGTACAAGTGAATGAGAGACTGAGAGCAAAACAAAATGGTTGCCAAGAAGCATATAATGTCCAGCAGAGTAATATTTAGAGATATTATAAAGGAGCAATTGTGAGGAGTTGGCTAATTACATACTTTTATATACAAAATAAAATACCTAATCACACACACCTAAAACAAGAGGCAAGAACTCACCCCACTGGAGAAAACCAGAGACATACTTCTCCCTTGCAAAGGGTGAAGAGTAGAATTCCTGATAGACGCCAACCAGTAGATCCAACAGTGTTTGGAGTCCAACAGGTCCTGTGGTCCGGTGGCCCTCTGCCAGATCAGATGCACCTAGGTCAGGCCCCGCTGACATTTTTCCCAGGGGGTGAGGGCTTGGTTGTTTGTTTTAGTGCTGTAGTGAAGCCCTGGTGTCCATGACTTTAAATCTTCAGTTTGCAGTTTCTCCGGTTTGACTCTTTAAAATTATGTCTATAGTAACGGCTTTCTCCAGATCACGACCTAATTCTACTGCAAACCCTCCTCAGTTGCCTTTCCTTTCTAGCTGTTCTGCTTGATCACAGAACATGAGCAAAGGTTTTCATACAGACATCCTCTTTTTTATCATATTCTCTATCCCTCCCTCAGTTTACTGTCACTTACACTCTCCCTCGCTTGTATGTCTTTCAGATGCCTGGATGTCTGTCGGGGTCTCTCCTTTTTCTTCTCTTCCCATAGCCGTGCGTCTGTTAAGCCTGCAGTTTCTCCAACTCTGACTCAACACCTTTTTTGGTCTGGATCTCCCTCTCGCTGTCTTTCAGCTGCCCCTTTTCAAAGTAATCCAAAGTTCCTACTGCAACAGTTTAAGGTAATAGCAAAGCACTGAACTGTTCAGAAACAATTCCTCTTTTCATTTTGTGCATTAGTAGCTCTTTGTATTACCAGCCCTTGTTTGCTTTTATTCCCTGTCCTTCCTCTTGTGATAGAGCAAAGAGGAACTGCTGACCTGAATCAGTTCTAGATTTTGCTTTTGTTTTGAAAATGTAAATCTCTTATTTTGTCAACTGTCCAAAATCTTTTTTTAGTTCTCTTCATTTTTTCTTCTGTCCCACCCTTCTCGTCTCTCTGTTATCCTTCTCAGTTCTCATCATGTCATATTTTTGTCACTCATTCTCTCAGGAATGCAGTAGAAGCCGTTTCCTCTCATCCAGTTCAATGGAGTTGAAAAATTGTATTGTTAGGGTTAAAATTGTTTGTTCATCTGTTACTACTGTTTGTATCCCTCTTTTGCCCTTGGCTGCCTGAGCTGTAGTGGTCTGTCTGTACTCTCTTTAACAAGATTTTTTTTCTTGTCCCCAACTTTTCCTTCTTTGACATTCCAAACAACCTGCCTCTTTTCCTCTCTCTCTTTTCCTTTTCTCCTCCTTATTTATAAATACACTCACCTTACACTCAACATCACATACATTATATATGTGTATATATGAGTGAGAGAGAGAGAGAGAGAGACAGTCAAACCTATAATTATTCACACCCCTGGCATATTTTGACTTAAAGTTGTTTTTATTCAACCAGCAAGTGTTTTTCTTTTTACCAGAAATGACACAGGCATATGTACAATGTACAAGAGGCATCATTGTGGGAAAAAAAATTCTCAGCTTTTGACATTTGAGCAAAACGTTTTATGTCCAGAATTATTCATACCTTTCACAGTAACCTATAGATAAGCCTTTATTGGTTATTGCAGCAATCAAACACTCCCTATAATAACAGACCAGCTTTTTGCATGTCTCCACAGGAATTTTTGCCCATTCGTCTTTAGCAATGAGCTCCAAATCTTTCAAGTTGGAGGGTCTTCTTGCCGTCACCCAGATGTTTAGCTCCCTCCACAGATTCTCAGTTGGATTCAAGTCAGGACTCTGGTTGAGCCACTGCAAAATGTTAATGTTTTTGTCTCCTAACCATTTCTTCACTACCTCAGCTATGCGTTTTGGGTCATTGTCGTGCTGAAATATCCACTGGTGCCCAAGGCCAAGTTCCTCTGCAGACTGCCTGATGTTGTCGTTGAGAATCTTCATGCATTGCTCTTTTAATGGTCCCATTTACTGTGAATAGGTTCCTTGGTCCATTGGCTGGAAAACACCCCCAGAGCATTAGGTTCCCACCACCATGTTTGACAGTGGGGATGGTGTTCTTTGGGTTAAAGGCTTCTCTTTTTTCGCCAAATGAAGGAAACATAATTGTGACAAAAAAATTCAATTTTTGTTTCATTTGACCATAGGTCAAATGACCATAGGTTTACACACCCACATTCTAACCTGAAAATATGATTAAAGTTTATTTTGTGACCCAGAAAGATTAATAAGAATAATTTTGGTCGTGTCCAAATTCATGGGCTGCATCCTCCTGAGGCCGCATTTGCAGACCGATTACGTCACAGCGACGCGCCGAAGGCTGTAAAAATTCGTAGACTCCTCCGAATGCAGCCGACAAATTTGTCCTCCTTTCCCCCGAATTTGAAGGATGGGTCAGGTGTGTCCTTCGTGGCCTATCACATCCCAGAATTCATAGCCAAACTCCAGTTTCCAATAATGGCGGCCGCTACTAAGTTTTAAAATTCCCCTTCTAATCTTTATGGGTCACAAAATAAACTTTTAACATATTTTCAGGCGAGAAAGTAGCTGTGTAAACATCAAATATCTGCTCGATTTACCAAGGTATTGCATATTTGCGAAAGTGCTTTGACTTTTCGGAGACGTCTGCTACTATTAAATTCCGGTTCTTTTTCCTGAATTCCTTTGCCGACAGAGAAAGACTGGACTCAGTGGTCAAGCTCAAAAAAATCATCTTTATTGTACATTTCCGGAAACGGAGAACTGTAGACACGAACACGCACCCACAGTTCTAAAAACATTGCAAGCCAAAAGGCGTATATATAGTTCTGCTATATGTCACACACAGTTTTGATCTGGAGTGCACTCTGCTTAGTTTCACTTTCTGTATGCCACGCTTCCTGTTCTCTGCACAAAGCGTGCAGTCTCCTGTCAGCCTCCGACCTAGTTTATACTCAAAGTTGGCCCTCTCTTAAACTGGAAGCAAACTATATTAAAACAAGTAACAATAAGCACTAAATATATATTTATTTCTTACACTACCCACCAGCTCGATAGCTAGCCGGGAGCTCGAGGGTCACTGAAGCCGCCGAGAACGGCACAACTCCCGGCACATCATTTTCAGATCACCGCGGAGTTTCGCTGCTCGGGTTAAACGTAATATATAAGTCACTTAGACAACCTAAAAATGTTATTGTCAGGCTTTTTTCAGTGTTTTATTTGTTCGTGAGTAAATCCGTTTGGGTGAGATTAAAGTTATTAGATTAGATAAAATAAAACTTTATTAATCCCCTGGGTGGGTTCCTCCTTGGTTTTTACACAGCTGAATAAACGTCAAACAGAACTGATTAAACAGAAGTATGAGACAGTCGAGAATTTACGCCAGTGTCCTGTTATATTTTAGATAGCAAGGAGCAGACGGCGAGTTTATTAAACTCCACCGAGACAGCGGTGACGCTAATCAGAAGGCTAGACTGTCCAATTTCCCCAGCCTTTTACTTCGGGCCTACCCGACCTTCTGAGGACCCGGCCCACGTAGACCGCGAAGGCCGGGTCCTCAGGAGGATGCAGCCCATGAATTTGGACACAACCTTTAAAACTTAGTAGAGCCACCATTGCCGGAAAGTGGAGTTTGGTTGGGCCGCGCTATGAATTCTGGGATATGGTGGGCCACGAAGGACACACCCGACCCATCCTTCAAATTCGGGGAAAAGGAGGACACATTTGTCGGCTGCATTCGGAGGAGTCTACAAATTTGGACGGCCTTCGTCGTGTCGCTGTGACGTAATTGGTCTACAAATGCGTCCTCAGGAGGATGCAGCCCATGAATTTGGACACGACCTTTGTTGAAATGAAGGAATTACACAGCGGTCTTTTCCTGTTTCATATGTTAGCTATGCTCTTTCTATTTTTGGTAATTCCATGCTGGTGGAAACCCAAACAAAACACGCATTAAGAGGCTGTAATACCTGTGTCTCAATCTCGCGGCCCATGTCATCCCTACTTGCAGCCCGCATAATGATGTGACGAAATATTTTTTTTAATTATTGTTCAAAAAATTATCTAATATCTAATATGGAGGCAATAGGCAGAGTGTTACAGGCATAGACCTAAAGAATGTAGCCTCATGGGCCCAGTTGTAAGTAAGCTATTAAGACTCGACTGTACACTGTGTTCGTGTTTTCCTCCGAAACAATAAGTTCCGTTGCAGCAGCCTTTCAACGCCTCTCTCTGTCTCTTGCTAGCAAAGTTGACCCAGACAACAAAGTAAAGCTAGTTTTCGGCTACGAGGCCAACACGGAACCCGACATATTAGCCCTTTACTACGGTTCGGAGCTGCAGACCTGTTTTATATACAAATAGTTTTCTATACAAGATCGCTGCAAAAAGTGCAGCCGTACCTAATGTCCACCCTACTGTTACTCATTTTATATTAAGATTTAAAAATCTAGTTGGTATCGGTATGGCAAGTAGCCTTCAGTAATAGTAATAAATCACACAGCAAAAGTACATGTAGTTGTAAAAAGCATGATAATACAGTATATTAAGTAATCCAAAGTATTCAGAATACCTTACTCTCAATGAGTTACGTAACGGAATACGTTACAAAATACATTTTGGGGCATGTAAAGGTAACCTTCCCAACACTGCTATTGGAGTATGGAGAAGTTTATTTTAAACAAAATAAAAGTTTTGGTTAAAAGTGATCTGGTGTTCACCAGGCACAGGCTGGAGCACAGGCGTCAACAAGTCCAGAAACCCGACGCAACGGTCTCAGTTTTCGGCAAGGTTCACAGTGGAGGTTTAGCCTGGGAGACCATGGGCAACGAGGCCGAAGAGCATCATCAAAGCCAACCATGGGCACCAAGCAGGTATCAACAGCATCCAGGAAACACAGACACACAATCTTGGGAACAATCCAGGCGCTGGTCGGAAAACACCAGAAAAATGCCTTAGGGAAAACCTCAGCTTCACCAGCCGAATCCTCCTAAGCTACAGCCGAAATTACATCATCAAATTAAACTATTGGAAGTATTCTTTAAATTCAAAATTGTATTATAGGTCTTATTGATCTTGATCTTATTTTTAGGCAACGTAATGGCTTTTACACACGTAAAATGCAAAATTTCATGTGAAGAGACATGCCGACCGAGTCTAATATCAGGATGA